TGTATACTATGTTGGGTGTTTAGTTGAGGGGGGGAATGGTTTGATCCCCCCACCATTTATTTTATACACACATAAACTCTGAGCTTTGAGGTAGGGTCTCATCATGTGGTCCGGGCTGGTCTCCAACTCTTGGGCTAAAGTGTTTTTCCAGCTCAGTCTCCTGAGTAGCTGGGACTATAGGCATGCATCATTGCACCTGCCTCTTCCAAACAATACCTAAATAGTTCAGCACCAATGAAAGATGAAAACTAATCTGCTCCGTTTGATAGAAAAAAGTCTAGTGGTTCTGTCTGGATCATGGGTGGGGTAGACAAGGGGTTGCAAGGAGTTCAGCTCCCATACAGCATCAATTGATTGAACAACACTACAAACCTTTTGGGCAATGGCTCTAAGTGTGGGTTCAACACAGCAGCCTCCACATCCCCTGGGGATGTGTTAGAACTGCAGATTCTCAGAGCCAGCCTGGAGTCCAGAGCAAAAGCTCTGGGGTGAGCCCAGGACAGTGATACCTATCAAACTCCCCAGGTGAAGCTGGAGCTGCTCAAAGCTTGGGAATCACTACCTGCAGTTGTTGAGGGACCCCTTTCCCTAAGGGCCTTGGTTTCCCTGTCTCTAAAATGGGGGGTTGGAATGGGTGTGTGTGTGTGTGTGTGTGAGAGAGAGAGAGAGACATGTGCATGGTGTAGGCACCTGTGTGTATGTATGGAGGCCAGAGGAAGATGCCGGGCTCTGCTCTGTCCCTCTCCATCTTATTTCTTCAAGACAGGGTCTCTCACTGAGCCTGCAGCTATGGTGGGGGCCAGCAACCCACAGTGATCCTCTTGTTTCCAACCCTCACAGTGCTGTGGTTACAGTTGCTCAAAAGACCATATCTGGCTTTTTAGTTGGGTGCTGGGATTTGAACTCAGGTCCTCATGCTTGTGTAGCAAGCACTCTAATCCATTCAACCATCTCTCCAGCATCCTGGAATGATTTTTTTTTTTAAACTACAAGTTCAAATGATTCACAGGGAGTGGGGAAACCTGGTTCCTCACTCTGTTCTGTTACCATGGACCCTTGTGTGAGCCATGATGTATTTGCAGTGTACCTTGCTACAGCCCAGATTTCCATAGCACAGGACCAGCAACAGCTGTGCATCCACACATAGGAAATGGCTGTTGTGGTTTAGAATGAAATGTCCCCTCAGGCTATGCTGAAACCTTGGTTACTAGCTGGTGGCTTTATTTTGGGAGATACTGGAAACTTTAGGAAGTAGGTCATTGAGGGTGTGTTCTGGGGCTATAGCTTGTTCTCTCTCTCTCTCTCTCTCTCTCTCTCTCTCTCTCGTCTTCCTAGTTACCAGGAGTTGACCTGCCTTGCTCTGCCACATACTTGTTCTATTTCATTATTGGCCACAGCCAAGGATGATGGACAGAACCCCTAAAACTGAATCCAAATAAACCCTCCTTCATGTATGTGTCATAGTGACAAAACCCAAACTGGTGGTAACTAGCTAGGTAAATTATGGTTACAGACATACAATAAAACACTCCATTATCAAGAAGAGTGAGAAGACTATGTACTGATTTGGGCCAGTCTATCAGATACATTAACTAGAAAAAGAGAGGTAGAAAAAAATGTATATTACGTGAAAATCAGTGTTAAAAGTGCATATTCAGGGTCAGTGACATGGCTCAACTGATAAAAGTACTTGCAGCCCAAGCCTGGCACAAGTTTGCTAATCCATTTGATTCCTAGAACTCACAGTGGAAGGGGAGAACTGATTCCAGAAAGTTGTCCTCTGACCTTCACAAGTGTACTGTGGCATGTGTGGGCATGTACATGCATGCACACACACTAATAATAAAATTAAATTTTAAAAATGCATCTTCTTGTCTACATGAAAGCCATTTCTGGATACAGCAGATGTCTCCACCGAAGAGTTCCTTAAGGACTAGAGCTGAGGTGGGTGGAAGTTAATCTACTTTTCACTATATATTCTTTAGTGTGGTTTTGGTATTTTTTAAAAATATTTATTATTTTAATTTTATGTGTATGCATGTATTGTCTGCATATAGGTAAGTGCACCCATGTTGTGCAATACCTGTGGAGGACGGAAGAAGCTGTTGGATCCCCTGGAACTGGAGTTACAGACAGTTGCTAGCTGCCATGTAGGTGCTGGGATTCTAACCCGGGTCTTCTGTAAGAACAGCCAGTGTTCTTAACCGCTGAGCTGCTTAATTCCGGTTTTGGAATTTTTAAAGCCTATGCGTACATTACTCAAAAACCCAAACAAAACAAAATCACCACCACAGAGAATCAAAGTCCTGTCTGATCCTCTGTTGGCTGAATCCTTGGAGACTCAGAGGCCAGAGCTGAAAGTCAAGGATGAGTAAGGCGTGTGGAGGAGGGGAGGGAGGCAGCCTGGAGTGCCCTGCCAGAGGAGGGGAGGGAGTGGCAGCCACTGTTCCCAGAGTTCCCCAAGACACCCTTGCAAATGCTGCCCCAGCCTCTGTCTGCACCTCCTAAGGGAAAGAGAGACTGGAGATGCAGAAGGACCCAGCTGTGGACCAAGCTGAGGAGAGAGATCCTGGGGGCAAAGTCATGCTTGTCCAGCAGTGGGGCTTCAGCTTAGCAATGCCATGTGGTACCTGGGGGTAGGGAAGTCCTGGTGTGATGATTAGTCTTCAAAGGCAACTTGACTGGATTTAGAATCACCAGGGAAAACACATGTCCATGAAGTGCTCCCGCAAAGGTCTGAGGAGAGAAGACGCTAGCACTATTCCATGGGCTGGGGGGGGTCCTGAATTGAGTAACAAGAACACAGACTGAGTACTGGTTTCATCTCTGTCTGGTTCCTAACTGCTGACACAACAGGACCAGCCACCTTGCACTCCTGCCACCATGCCATCCTCATCACAATGGACTGTACCCCTTCTTTGGCTGTGAGCAGATCAACCCTGCCTCCCTTCAGTTGCTTCTGCTAAGTATTTGGTCATAGCAATGAGAAAAGTAATATACATGCCAATCACAGTTTGACCCTCATCAACAGGGCTTCCCAAACCAACCCCTTCTCCCTACATGACCTGTTGCATACCTGTGGGGGACATTATGTTAATCCCTTTTTGCACATGGAGAAATGGGGACTCATTTCTTCTTTGGCTTGTACAAGGTCACATTACCAATGAATGGTGAAGCCAGGATTATAGAACCTAAAGTGTGACTGTCAACCCTGTGAATTGCAGAAAGAGCTGGTTGATTACTAATTGCCTGAGCAGGGATTGGGAGTCCTCGTCTTATGGCCCAGAGAGCTTTCCTTGCTTTGCCTAGCTGGCAGAACTCAGGGTCAAGAGTTCAAGATGAGGCATTGTCAGAGCTGATGGTGAGAGCTGATGATTCTTAGGAATGTCCTCTGGCTGGGACTCCTGTTACTTCCCTGTAAGGGAGGGGGAGGAGGATGCTTCTGGAACCCTGGGAAATGATCTTACCCTAACTGGTCCCAATTCCCTCTTCTCATTACCAAATGCCAATCAGGTCAGACAAATGACTTCTGTACATCCTCTGCCTTTTGAAATCCCACTATTCCTTTAGGCTCCGTTCAAATATTCCTCCTTTCCAATGCAGGTGTTGGGTCAGTCCTAGTGGGCTGGATCTCTTTGTTCTTGCCCACCTAGAACTCAAGGCAGAGAGAAACACAGACTCCTTCCTTTAGAGAGCAGGGCTGGGATGCCACTTTTAGATACTCTCTTTTAAGACAAATTACAGGGGTGTGATGATGTCTAGAGAAGGCTGTGAGGTCTCCTGCCATTTCTCACTATAGAAGAAAGGGCTTGATGGAGAGGAGCTGGATAAAAGTATTTGGGTAGGAAGCGACCCATAATTGGACAATGTTCAGAGTTGGAGTGGTTGAAGGAAGATTTGTCAGGCAGGAGGCATGGATGTGGTCAATCCTGCTGTGTTGTGAAGGGGTCTCTCTAGCAGTGGTAGGTGCAAAGCCTGGGTTGCAGGTCTGGCCTGGATAGGGACAACCAGGGGACTTGGAAGGTTTAGGGATGCTTGCTGAGTCTGGATTAGACACCCCTGAGTCTAATGCAGGAAAGGCCAGAGCTGGGATTAACCATTGGGGAAGAGGGGGAGAAGGAGAAGGCAGGAAGACATCTCAGGGACACTTACATTTTTTTTGGGGGGGTGGAGCTTTGATGGCCAGGTAGTGAGGAATCAACCAGGGTATACTCTTCAAAAAGAGGGGATGCCTGGTGCACTTCACAGACCTTAAAGGAGGTTGGTCTGAGGGTTGCAAGAAGTGGCTGGAGCTCTAGTTAGGAGGCAACTCAGAGCTTATTGTTGAAGTGTGTGGTTGATGAAGGCAGACTGCAGTGGGAGGCAGGCAGTGTAGGCTTGGTGGGCTGCAGATTGCGCTCCCAGCAGAGTCCTGACTACCTCTGACTGCTGCTCTCAGCACAATGACTGGAAAAGCAAACAACACCCTTTGGCCTGCTAATTAGCCATGAGATGACTCCTTGCAAGGGGCATCTTGGTTCACCTGAGTCACCTGCACGCGAGGCAGGTGCAGTCAGCTACTGTCCATGGATACCTTTCCCTATGTTTTTTCTTAGAAATGCCCCCAAACAATCACCCAGTTTCTGCCCCCCCAGATCCCACCTTTCCAAGGTGACAGTGCTCAGATCTTATTTGCTAAGAGAGGAACTAATTTGTGTAATGGAAAAGTCACGGAGAGAATGTGGTGTAAATGTTAATCGTTTTTTTAACTTCACATTACGTGATCCGTTAACATTAATATTTAATTTAATGCAGTGAAAAGATTAATGCTTGTGTTTATTTCTAAAAAAGGCAAGGATGCTTCGGGCTGCCTTTCAGCTTGGTTGAGCTTTGGGGTGGGGGCGGGAAGAGAAAAGACAACAACACATCCAGCATAGAAGAAATGTATTCATGTCGTAATAATACAAATATCCTCTCCCTCCCCCGCTCTCCCTCCTCAACTCCTAAAAATAAGCCACGGGGTTCTAATGGGGACACTGATTAAATATTCGGCTCTGTAATTTATGCCCAAGTGAATCCCAACAGGAACCAGAGGCCCTGGAAATCTGTTGTGAAATAATTATCCTGAATGACATTGTGGTGATGGTCTGCAAGGGTGCTGTCAATAATGCATTAGTCCAAATCTGTTTGAAATACGGCAAGGAAATTACACAATCTTCATGGGAACCTGAAAGAATTATCAGTAAACAAATTTAATCAACTTGATGTTATGCATACCACTCAACCTCTTATTATCTGATCATCTGGGTTTAGAACACGCAGGGGAATTGAATGACGTGGGATGCAAGGCTGCAGCCCTCTCTCTCTCTCTCTCTCTCTCTCTCTCTCTCTCTCTCTCTCCACATGCTGGATGAAATCCTCCGGTCTCTGTGTTTCTCCTTAGCTGCATTTCACTTGCATTTTTCTCTGGTTTTTGGCAGCCAGCTCTTGCCCCAGCTTGGCCCTGGGGCTCCCACTCTTCCTCCCTGCCCCCCAGTGTCAGAGCCCTTCTTAGAAAAGTCTAATTGCTCATGCTTCCTCATGCTTCTTCCATGCCTCTGCCTCTTCTACAATCAAAGAAGGGTGATCACCTTGCCTGGTGGCTCAGAAGCAAAGAGCTACAATGCAGAGGAAGTGAGTGTTGTGACCTGGGAAGACACTTTTTGTCACATGAAAGGGACTCATAACCTTGGATGAGAATCTGACAGTTATTTGCCGAGTGATATTTGAGTCCTGTCTCATCTCTGTACTTTAGTTTTGCGACCTGAAAATATACTGCCGCTTTACAAGAAAGTCAAAGGAAGGGTTACAGCTGACCCCACATATCCACATCCTTCTAGACTTTCGACTTATGTAACTGCATGATAATAATTCTTACTGATTTAAGCCATCACATTTGAAGTAATTTGTCATAGCAGCAACAGGAAACTAATACAGAGAGATAGTGAGTTGGAGAGCGTGCACTGTAGTCTTGCATGGGTTGCTCATGACATTTTGGAATGCAGTTACACTTGAGCCAGTCTGCCAAGTCGTTGGGATGGGCCACCAAGGGTGAGAGATGAAGGAGATCAGAAGAGATCCAGTTGAGCAGCTCCTGATGGGTTAAGCAGTGGATAGTCCCTCTTCTTGAAAGGTCTGAAGAGCTCATTCATGTTTTCCAAGATGAATTTCGGAACTTACCACATAGGGATTGCTATCAGAGACTGTGACAAGAATGTCATAGGAGTCTATGTAAGAGTTAGCTAGGTTAGGTTATGCTAAGTAGCAAAGAGTCCCTAAATCTTAGTGCCTTATGCCGATGAAGATATATTCACTGTTCATTCTCTATGTCTGTTGCTACTCAACCTCATGGAGTTTATGCTCATGTGACATTGACTAAACTGAGTCACGTGGCTCTACCTACCTTCAAGGGAATGAAAAAACTCACTGTGTGCATAGAAGGGGTTAGAGTTAGGTGTATTTATAGACCAGCACTAATGCCCACCAATCCCCATTTCAATCCTTGTTTCCAGACCCAGAAGCACTGGAGGAGAAAGGGCCCCAGAACGGAAAGGGAACGAGGGAGAAAGAAAAGGCCATAACCTTTCCTCATGGCGAGATCATTAGATGAATTTTTGTTTTAGCTACTTTCTCATTGCTGTGACCAGATATCCAACAACAAACAACTCCAGGGAAGGAGTTATTTGGCTCACAGAGGGGAAGACATGGCAGCAGAAGCAGAAGGGAACTGGTCACATTGTACTTACAGTCAGGCGTGCAGAGAGAAAGCTGGTGCTCAGCTTGCTTTCTCTTTTTATTCAGTCCAGATCCCCAGCCTGTGGAATGATGCTGCCTACAATTAAGTGGGTATTCCTACTTCAGTTAACCTAATCTAGAAGCTCCTTCTCAGACATGCCTATTGGGTTGTCTCTTCGGTGATCCTGGGTCCTGTTGAGTTGACAATATTTTCCAGACATCTAGTCCACAAGGAAGGAAGCAGAAGATGCAGAGTTTGACATTAGATATATAATTATGATTTTTATGGCAGAATGGGCTTTCAATTAAAATATTATAAATGAAAGCTGGGTGTTTTTCCTATAATGTGCTTACAAAATAGGAACTAGAGCTTCATCAGGTCATAGATGAAGCCAGTGCTTAGAAAAGTATAAAGCTGGTTTTTATGTGTGGTTCACTTATCAGACTCTATTATAAACAAAATGTCCATATATTTATTCTTCAAATTTTCCTTGAGTAGTCAGAACTATTACTTTCATTTTATATATGACAAAACTGAGGTCTAGCAAATGTAAGTAATGTGTCCAATGGCACATAGATTGTGCAGCTCATCAGGTCACAACTCCTTAAAAAACCATCTTTGCTCTACTGTGCCATTAGCCTTATGTAAGTGACACTTCTGGAGCAGCAAGGAGAGACATGTATATAGACACACCTTTTGCCTGTGAGGGCAAAATGGCCACGTTAAAAAGATCTTAATGATGCAGCAAAAGTGTGTGTTTTAATTACTTTCTATTGCTGTGATAATAATACTGACCAAAACCAACCCAGCTAGGAAAGGGTTTATTTTATCTTACATCTCCCAGATCACAGTTCATCACTGAGAGAAGTCAGAGCAGGAACTCAGGGTACGAACCTAGAGGCAGGAACTGAAGCACAGACCATGGAGGAAGGCTGCTTACTGACTTGCTCCCTTGACTTGTGCTTAGCCTGCCCACAGTGGGCTGGATCCTCCCACATCACTCAACATCAAGAAAATGCCCCAGACCTGGCCACAGGTCAGTTCAATGGAGGTAATTCCTCAACGGAAGATCCCTCTACCCAGGTGTGTCATGTTGACAACTAAAGCTATTCTTCATAGTGTGTGAGTCACTGTTTTACCCACTGTGATACCTGAGAAAAACAACTTTAAAAAGGAAAGGTTTATTTTGGACCATGGTTTTGGTGGTTTCAGTTCACGGTTGGCCTGCAGCATTTTTTCTGGGCCATGCTGAGGCAGAATAGCATGGTGGAAGGCATGGCAGAACAAAGCTGCTCATTTCCTGATAGCCAGGAAGCAGAGAGAGAGCGAGAGAGCGAGCAAGAGAGAGAAGGGTGCCAAGGACAAGGTATCTTTCAAAGGCATGGTTGCAGTGACCCTCTTCCTCCAACCAGGCTCCACCTCCTGTCTCCACCACCTCTCAATAATGCATCAAACCACCAATGGATTAGTCCACTGATGAGGTCAGGGCCCTCATGATTTATTCATTTCCTTAAAGCTCCATCAGTTGGTGTTAGGGGTTTAATTGTGAAATGTCCACCTTGGAATGTGACCTGTTCAAATGCTGTGTTTGAGCACTCAGTCTCCAACTGGTAGAGACTACTTAGGAAGGTTCTAGAATCTTTAGGAGGCGATGCCTTGATGGAGGAAGTAGGTCACTAGGGGTTAGGCCTTCAGCCCACTTTCTCTTCTCTCTCTGCTTCTGGACTGCTGATGCAGTGTAAGGAACTGGCCACATACTCCTGGGGCCATGCCTTCCCCACCATGATGGACTGTATCCCTTCTGGAACTATGAGCCCAAACAAACCCTTTCTCCCTTAAGCTGTTTTTGTAAGGGTATTTTATCACAGCAACAGAAGTAACACTAAGATAATTGGCAGTCATGCCTTTAATCTTTGGGGGATACTTCATATTCAAATCACTATCTAAAGGGAAGCAGCATTGCTGGGGTACCTGCTCAGTGCCAGGCTCTACTAGAGAACTGATGTGCATTATCTCATTTAATCCCCACTGCAACTCTACCAGATAAGCATTTCTATGCTAATTCTGCAGATGAGCCAAGCACAGGCATCAGAAGACAATGGGACTTGCCTAATGCCAAGCAACCAGTAGTCAAGATTTGAACCCAGTGCAAAACTCTTCATCTAGCAACAATTTCCCAGTGAAGGAATTTTGGAGGCGAGAGGGGCCATTGTGGGATGAAATCACTTTCCAGAGGGCCTCCAGAGTGATGGGAGGCTGGGGTTAGCTGGTGAAGGTGCAAACAGGGAGTTCGGGGACAGAGAGTAGGCAGGTCTGATTGGCACCAAGACTGTAGGAACAGTGGGGGTGAGAGGAAAGGCAGGTGGGCACCAGATAGGGAGTGTTTGGAATGCCAAGCTGAGGAGTTTGGCTTTGTTTCCTCAGGCGATGGGAGGCCATTTGGAGCGAGGTCTGGCATGCTGATGGAGAAGCAATAGGAAGCTGGGAGTCTGTGGTGACTGAGGCAGCTGCTGAGCGCCTAGTGGGTGCCAGGGCTTTTGGCTCAGAGTCACTATCCCCTTAGCAGGTGCAAGGTAGGAAATACCTAGGTTAGGCAGAAACATCCCTCACAAAAAGAGAAAGGCATAGTTGGGATAGGGGAAGACAATGGGGAAGGTCTCAGATGCAGCAGGACAGGGAGGTGGCACAGAGAGAACACAGGTCTCAGTTACTCTTTCAGTATCTCTGGGACCCTGGGCATATCATTGTGCTTTTCTAACACATGACAACAAAACAAACAAATCACCAACAGAATTTTCCATGAGCCTGTGTTATAGAACCTGCAAATTTCCTCACACCATGCTTTAACATATGGTCTCCATGAGTCCCTTTCCTATAGGAGTGCGCCAGCTGATGTGTTCCCTTACAACTAAAATGCTCCCAAATCTTCGGTTTACTTTATTTAATGATGTGTGTGTGTGTGTGTGTTTCTGTCTGTGTCTGCATATGAATGTGGAGGTCAGAGGACAACTTTGGGAGTCTGTTCTCTCCTACTCTGGGTTTCTGAGATCAAACTCAGGTGATCAGGCTTAAACTCAGGTGATGGCTTGAGCCATCACTCACCCATTTGCCCCCTCTTTGTCTCTCGCTTCCTATCAGGACTGGTTGAAGAAGACCCTTTGAGAGTCCTCCATGTCTCCAAATAAATGCTCAGTCTTTGGGAGTTTCATTCTTTCCTCTGCCTCTCCGACATGGTGCCTGTTTATTGGGAACATTAATTACATTCTCAAGCAGCAAAGAGAAAAGGGCACCGGATCTGCATGGCATCCCGTCTCCTGAGTTCTCTTACGGTCCCTTCTCCTGACTCGGGTAGACAAACCACATAACACATCTTTACTTGAATTTTTCAGTTTATATCCTGGGTAAGGGAAATAGAGTAACTTACAAAGGTGAATCCCAGGTGCCCCATTCTGCTCTGTGGCTCAGCGGCCGCCTTTCCAGATCGCTTCCGTGCCCTGCCCACAGTCTCTCTTAGCTTTTGCCCACGCCTCGTGGGCCTGCAGTCTCACCCCAGGTCAGTAAATCCCCCTCTCGCATCCACATGGGCAAGACATCAGGCCATTTTTTTCCGTGCTGCTGCTGCCAAGAGGTGCCAACACGCCTCCCTCTGCGGCTAACTCTCCACAGCTCCCTCTCCGTAGCTAACTCTCCGCAGCCAATACTCCACAGCAGGCTCCGCCCCACACAGGACCAAGTACCCTTCTGGACACACTCCACCCCTTCTTCTGGCTATTCAAATCTTTCCACCAATCTTCCACTAAGGTCCCTGAGCCTTGGAGGGGGTGACAGATGTAGGGTGATCTCTCTTGTATCATGGTGAGATAGTGACTTCTTGGGCCTCCCCATTATTTGTCTTCAAGCCTTGGCCATTGATCTATCTCAGTGGTGTTTCTTCTACTATAAAGACAAATGGAAGGAAGTAGACACATCTAAACAAGCATGAATGTAAATACAAATGCCCAGAGGATATCCCAATAGCTGTACTATATTCATTAAACAGTATATTTGTAATGGCTTCCCCGCTAGGGCCTGTAGCCTTTCTTGACATAGGCGGTTGGCCTGGTCTCCAGCACCAGATGTGTGTTCCACCCCTAGGATTGGACCTTATCCAATTAGAAATTTGTCAGTTGTACATATGTTAGTTGAGCCATTATTGCACTTGCAGGCATTGCTTGCCAGGTCCATAGTGTGCAGCACACGGGGTCTCAGTCATCTATCTATCTATCTATCTATCTATCTATCTATCTATCTATCTATCTATCATCTGTCATCATCTATCTCTCAATCATCTATTGTCTATGAGGTCTTTCATATATTTTTGAGAATCACATTTTTTTTCTGGAATTCTGGTTAGGACATTACTGAATCAAAATAAATTCTGACCCCTCCTCCATAAACATGGTGAATCTTTCCATTTACACAATTTAATTGCACTCAGGAATTGGTCATTGCTTTTGGTATAGATAGAGGTCTTCTGTTATATTCATGTCTA